AAGAGAGACAGTGTGTGTGTGTGCGTGGCTTCTGACATCTGACTTGGTTTGACCTTTGCTCTGACAGAGTCCAGTCAAGGCGCGACTGTGTGGGCTGACCATTGACAAACAAGTGCGTGAGCGCAGCTAACGTAATTCTCAGAATTGAAATGTCTGAGCTTTATAGAGGACGCTTTATAAGTCAGAGAGCATGAGAAGCTAATGAACTTTAGTGACGACAGCAAGAAGGAGTGAGAGAGTATTTGCTGTAGGTGGCTAACAGTCAATGAGAATTTATCCATCTTCTCCTCCCTTCTTTGACTCCCTTTCTTCCCTTCATGCGTAGCAAATTTTGGTTTCATTTCAACTGATTTACCATTTTTTGGACGAATATTTTTACACTAACTTTATAGAAAAATTCATGTAGGTGTGCGAGTCAGCTAGCTTTAGCTTAGCTTAAGGCTTAGCTTTAGCGTTAGCTTAAGGCTTAGCTTTAGCATTAGCTTAAGGTCTTTTGAGAATTTAGAAGACAACAAGAAAAAGAAAAGTGACTGGAAGAAATAAATTATGGGGAAATGGGGAGAAAAAGCACTCCGTTCTAACTCCTGAAGCTTGATATAATGAAGATTTGTCAAGTCCCGTGGCATTCCTGAGGAACGTGACCGTCCGCGCTCTTATGCTACGCGCCGGGTTATAGATGAAATCCAGTAGAATGACGCTCCTGCGGTAATACACATTCTAGCCGTGTATTCCAGCCCTAACCTTATCCCTAACCTTAAGCAGCACTTTAATGACGTTAAATCGCTTTGGAAAACACTAAGTAAAACGAACATACATGTGTGGATTCATTCCTAACGGTTCTCATGTTTCCTCATTTTTCCGATCTCGTAACCTAGGGACGTGTTGGGTGCCCGGAAGCGTAATATATCGACGATTTGTCACCAGGGGTAAAATGCTACGCTTTGGGAGCGAGAACGTGTTGAAAAAAGAGAAAATCTTTAGATTTGAATATCAAATTGCTACATATGAATAAAATGAAAAAAGAAATTAGCTTTGCGTCAGGAGGAGGTGTTTCTGATGAAGCCAATGAGAGACTGGAAGGCAGACTTTAAAATGCAACAGCTTTCCCCTCCTCTGCACTCAAGCTATAGCCGAGGCGAGAGCTTATCAGACCAAACTGAGAGAAGCGCTAAAAGCATTTCTGATGCCATTCTCCACTCCCATGGTACCACTCAACTGCATCAGGCCCCATCAGCTTCACTACCACGAAGGAGAGGGATGAAGGGCAGACAATGAATGATGGAGAAACAGACGATGGGATACGGGAATGAGAAAGAAGACATTCTCTTGTCTTTGCAAAACCACGTCACATTCCCCAGTGGGAGACTAACAATGCATCCTCAACACAAACACATAATCTACTGTAGTCCACATGTACCCTCACAGGCAAAGCCTGCTTCAGTTAGTTTAGTAGTTCCTCTCTTCCTGGCCTAATCCCCAGGCATCTTTCTAACATGGATATACCGCAGTAACAAGAATTTTGAGCCTACCAAGCCCTCCAAGTGAGAAATTTTAGAATCATTTTCATAGTCATACGAATGCAAGTCAGATGAAATGAGTTTCAACACATGTTCTGTTTTAAATTATTAACATACACAGAAGGTAAAATACAACATGGAGCTTGGCAATTAATTGCATTTTTAAAATTCTGGCTTACAACTATAATCAAAACAAGTTATTCAGGATATAAATATTAGACCTTTTGAATTTTGGTACAAAGCGCACTGCTTTCCTTTGCTTTCCTTGACAGCACTGCATTTTTCCCCTTTCTCAAATCCAAACTCTTTCACAGTTTAGTTCAACTGGAGCAAAGACAATGAAAGGAGAGCCTTTAATCAACAAGATCCATCGAAAAGCTGACCTTCTGCCAACAGGTCCACAGACCACACCAGTTTTCAATGACCACACACTCATCCATCTCCCAACCGAAAACACACACAATATTAAATGATGGTACCAACCATGTTTTCCACATACAAGTCAGCGCCAGCCAAGGAACAACAACAAAAAAACTACAATCGAGTAGTAAATCTTTGATCACTAAAGGCAAGGGAAGTGAAAAGTGTTTGAAAAGAGATTGTGTTAAGCTGGTGTTTACAATAAACAAAGAAAAAGTATAGTTTTTGGGAGGCTAGCAGGTGGTACAGTAGGTGGACGCTGGGTGGCCTTGTTAGCAACATAACGCTTATATACCTGCATAGTATCCGACTAACCGACCTCATCAAATTAGACCAAACTCTTCTAGCCCACTCTGTATCCTGATCCACACAGTCACCAAACCACTGGGGGAGAGACCTTCCCATGTGTGCCGACACCCTAATGAGATTCATGTGAGGAGCATTAAAAGTGCTGCTAGACCAGCGCAACTGGAGCTGGCAGAGGGGGAGCGCACAAAGCAAATATGCACATAAACACAATGCAAAGGTGGGCGTAGAGAAAAAAAATCAAAATCTGTTCGTGAAAGTGAAAATGATGACCACCTACACGGCCTTGTTTGTGATTTCTTTCAATTAAAATCCGACATTCTCCCAGTGACTTCATTATTTAGCGTGTAATTTCAGCCGAGCAGTTTTATGACTTTTCCCTCAACACTTACCCAGAGAACTGCTACAGTCCCACATCAGTCTAATTAACCACAGCACCAGTTGATGAACACATCCAACAAGCGCCATAAAAACAGATTCATCATAACTGCAACGAGGAAGCCAGAAAAGAACATTTTTCACAAGACAGTTGGATAATGTGAGGCATGACTGTCTGCCTGTCTGTTCGCATAAAGTGCAGTCTTGAAATACTGGACCGTCTGACCTTCTGATGGCGCCATATGAAAAGTCGCCACGACTCCAAAACCACTGAGATTCATTCTCTGCTGGCTTTGAATGATAGTCAGTATCTGCAGTCTATTAGCAGAATAGCATCTGACATGAGGATGTCATGCTAAAATCTTACTGTACGTGCAAATCTAGCTCAAGACAAACACACATCACCTGAAAAGTTGCTCCATAACAACAGCACTGTCTTACATAAGAGTCCCCCATTGTCATCATAACACATATCCAAACAGTGAAGCATGCACAGAGACACACACCCAGAGGGCAGGAACTACTTCAGCTCTCTGAAAACACTGTTGTTGTTTTTAATGAAGACATAAGCCCTGCGTGTTTGCACTTGGCATCTCGTCTCCAAAGCTTCTGATCTGCCCAAAAAACAGAAGAGACGCTTGAGTTATTGATGCACTTCTTAAACTACAACTGCTTTATTGTGAAAACCAGACGCATTGCTCTGTGGGGCAACATATCGGCATGTTTCCCACTCTTCCCCACTCTCTATCAGAGCTATGCATTGGCAACTGGATTTGTTGTGAGGCCACAGGCCACAGTTGCATAATAATACAGAGCCAGGGAGCTAAGTTACAGGCACTCCATTCATTCCGCCAAAGGAACCCGGATCGACAGCAAAGACGTGTCAAGGGGACGGATTTAGATGCGGGCTGATCACACCTGGAAAAACAAAGGGTTAAAGCACAATGAGTGCTGCAGCACAGTGCAGCACAGGGCTAAAGCCCATTAACACAGTCAGGTGACTGAAGTGCAGGCAGCTAATGGTCAACGGGCAGAGTGACGCAACCTCTAAATCTTTTCCTCCTCACTGCATCTGCGTGTAAACACCATCATGTGCTACACAGAGTACGAAAGGAGCTTAAGCAAGCATAAAATATTGAAAAGGGGAGTGGAGGGAGATAGCAAAGGCACTTATTACCTGTAAACAAAGAGAAAACATTAAACAGGGACAAAGATATAAAAGATATAAAAGATATAAGCACACACACACATGCACCAATCCGGCCTCCGGAGGGACACAGTATGGCTCTTTGTGACTTCTTATTTTGTTGTGATGGATGTCTCCTCTCATTTTTTTTTATTTTTTTTTTTCATTTAAACTGTCAGTTGCTTTTTAGAGAACAGAAAGGCTGGCAAGTCTGTGCTCCTGACCCTGACGGTCACAGCACAAAGAGGGAGCTTGTTAGAGAGCCCGGGCTTGTCTTGTGTTCACTCTGACTTATAGCTATACAAAATCTGTCTGGCTCTTTTATCCTCGCATTATTGCTCTCTCAATTCAAATATTTCCAACTAAACAGAGTTGAAAAGAAAGGAAAAAAATGCCACTACTTTACAGTCGTTTTTTTAAACTACACTTGTGCAGCAGGGTAATATCCCAGATCATCCAACTGAGTTTGCCCGTCTTTATCCTCTCTGCTGAAGCGGCCCCCCCAGCGAAGATGCTGAATCACTACCAGCTCACAGAGCCGCTGATTCTGACCTTTGGCTTCTCCAGAGGAGGGCGAACGAAAAAGACAAATTCCCTACAAGCAGCAATCCCTACAGCAGAAAGCTCATTTGACTGAACTGTCCCTTTAAATTTCAAAGCCGATACGTGTCTGGATCAACCAGCACACAGCCTGGCGTTTCTGCCCAGTCCGTGCACTTGTTGTTGGCTGCGAGCAGAACAAGTCTGGCACCTGCCTGCTTCCCCAGTATCACCATTTATCAAGCAACAATAAAGGCAGAAGGCAGAGCTTTGGCATCGCTCTGTGTGCGTAAAACAAAAGAAAACAACAACAACAGCGCAGAGAAGAAGTTAACACAAAAAACACCTGAACTTGTGGTAAAGGCTGATTTGCTTTTAAAATGCCAAATCGCTAATCGTTTGTGGAGCACTATTTCAGCTCTATACGAGCACGCAAACTCCTCTAAAGTTGCATGTGCTGCCAGAGCCTCAGGTGTGCTTGTTTTGATATCTGTTATCATGATCGTCAGTAAAGATGCTGTGCACCGTTTTTACTCGCACACTGACACATTTATAGTGTGAAAAAAAGCCGCTTTAGCTTTGACTGTCAGTAGTGAGCTCCAACCTTGGTGCCCAGACTTTTTTGCTTTCCTCCACCTTGCAGTTGAACTCACCTCTACGAGCGCTCAGAGTCGCAGCCGATGATCCGGCGGAGAGAAAGACGAGCAACGCGAGAAGGCTTAATATCGCACCGCTGAGAGTCATCTTGATTCAGTTCCTGTCCAGCACCAAGGAGGTTGGAGGTCTGTCCAGTCCGATTTCACCACCAGGACTCCCGGACTCGTGGGTTCAGCTGCGGTGCATCTTGATCTTGATCCTGGATTTGTCTGAGTCCAGTTCAGTGGGGGGAAAAACTAGAGATAAAAAATAAGTTCAGGTGATTGTTTGGAAATGAAATAAAGGCGTCCTGTTCTTTTATTCTGCTACAGGTTTCTGGTTTCCCGTCGTCCACAAAGCGCAAAGTGTTCGCCCGCTCACCGAAAATAAAGAGGGCTTTTTATTACGCACTAAATGAAAGCGACATGAAGGGAAACAGCGGATAAACTGTTGTAGTACTATCTGTGGTGAACCCCAGTCACAAAGTGCGCACCAAAGTAATCCAAAGTACCGTCGAATAACGTCCAATGTCCCGGGGTTATAATAAGCCGTAGAATCGCTCTCCTCTCCGCTCCGTGTGCCCTGGTGTCGCCGATCCTGTCCCGCGGCTACATACAAAAATCCGCTCGTTTTCTGTTTAACATTATCTCAGTAAATTCATCAGAGGAGGAGAAAAACATATTTGATCTGTATATTTAAAATAAATGAAAAGCGCGCCGTACTGCTGGAGCTCGAGCGCAGGAAAGAGGATCACCGGGATATGGAGAATTGTGACGGGCTGAGGATGCACTGCTCTGAAGCGCTGAGCGCGCACGGCCCCGCCCTCCGAGCAGGCTCAGTGCGAGTGCCTTACAGGTAAGGTGGTGATGTCACACCACACACGCACAGGTGCGCGTACGTAGCCCTGCTTTTCGCAGAAGAGTCCCAGCTCGAGCGTGTCAACTTTATCTACTGACCGAACATGTTTTGCGTGTTTTATAAGGAGTCATTTCGCGCGTGGGAATGGACCCATCGTTGGGTCAGGGAGTAATTACGGTGTTTTCGCCACATTGTTATCCTATTATAGAAATGCTGCTTTGTCACTCGGTGAGGTGTGTTTTTTAAGACCTTGAAACGTGTCATTACAATAGTCACAGAATCCCAGGAGGATTCCTGCAACACAAAAGTGAAATGAGATCAACCCGTATCATCTGAAAACAGGCTGTAGAGCCTGGGTTAGTGGCCGGGTTATTCAAGCCTTTTACGAGGCTGGAGGAACACGTAGGCTGAGCAAACAATACTACTGCGGTAGTTTGTGTAAACTAATGTGTCACCTAAGATTTCACTACACTGAATTACCTGGAATTACCCAACTATGCGTAATAAAAGCGTGGGCTGTGGTCTTGGAAACCATTTTTAGTGTTTTTTGAACAAAAAGTACAGGCTAATGTTACAAATGCATACGCTTTATATTTATATTATTTAATACAATATTTTAACATTTTAAACACTTAGCATTTCACCGGTTTCCTCCCTCTTCTGCTTTTTGTTTTTTTTTTTAGCTCCGGACTCCTTAATCCGCCTGTCAGTCATCCTGACATCATGTTGGGAGGGGCGGGGCTTGGAGTAAAGATGATTAAATAGCAGATGTGAGGTTAATGGTCTGCAAGCTTTTTAAACACCCTAATAATAGGTTGTTTTTACGCCAGGCGTGATAGTTAACTGATAGTTAATCTACAGCCTGTCAGCTCACTCAGTGCTGACATTTCAATATACATTCATTTTTTCCTTTGTGTCCAGCAGCCATGTGCGCTCGCTTTCCCGCTTCCTCTTCGGGGGTTTTTCTCCCAGCACGGCTAGCAAGGGATGCTGGCTGACCGATTTCACGGGGCCAGAGTGCAGACATGTACCCCGGTTTTAGGATAAAGGGAGGGGGTCACGCAGGAACCCGGATTAAAGGATTTGATAGACGAAGAGGGGGAAGGAGGGGGAGGACTGGGGTCAGAGGTGAGGCAGCTGATGTTCAAAAAAGTCAAATGGAACTAAGGAGTGAGCGGCGCCGTCGCTAATCGAGCTTGATTAAGCCCACACTGTGCGTGTCCCATCTTTAAGCGGCCAATGAATTTCGAATGACTAAACATCGGACAGCATCACAATGGATGTCTTCATCGGAGACTGTTGCAGTGACCATTGGAGGTGAAGGCATTATTTTTTTTACAAAGGCCCACCCTTGACTTTTGGGGTGGTCGGCATATTTATCAATGTCATTTTGGGGGTTCAGATCCACGTCTAGTGTCAGTCACTGTTTAGACTGAATGCAGTCCAGCTGGTGGTGAGATTGTTGCATTTGTCCTTACTCAAACGTCCCAGAGATTAGCTGCTGCCCCCTTCTGGACAGGTGAGGCAAATGCTAAAACAAAATACAGTACTGATTACCCAGAGCCTTGTATATGGATTGCACTGAACGAAATAGAACAGAGATTTAAGAAAAAATAACGTTTTACTGAGACTCGGCTAACAGAATGGGGGTGAGACACAAAGACAGAGCAAGATTGCACAGACACTGTGAGCTTGATTGAGTCCTTCATATCACTCAGCACGCACTGGTTCAAACAGAACCACAACATTTGCATAAACCGGGCGTACAGATTGGCATAAATTAAGCACAGGCACCAACCAGAGAGGAGTATGACCCTTAAAGGGATTACCATGGCTGCTTATCTGTCGCCACGCATTAATATTCAGGTCCTGATGTAAGGACACTGCAATCCGTGACCCTGCACTCCTTTGGCTAATGTGTGTGTCGCTGTGCATGACTGTTTATGCAATGTCACTTGTCTGTTAATGTGCATTCCCAGTGTGCACGCTTCTCCTGCATGTGTGCCAGCCAAAACTAGACACTGCCTTATGCGGGCCAAAGGTTGTCACTGGTCTGCAGGAGTGTGTGTGTGTGACTAATAGTGGAAGCTGGAGGGACTGTTATGGGGAAGAGGATGACAGAAAAGAAAATCAGACAGAGGAAAGATAGAGAGAGACACACAAGCCATCTCCTCCAGCAAATGTAATTATATGGCTGGGAATCAGGGAGCTGATTCTTGGTCAGCTTTAGGCTGGGCGTACACACACATGATGTTGACCTTGTCCTTGTCCCTTTACATCATGGCAGACAGAGAAGCAGTGACTTGGTTAAAACAAAAAAGAAAAAATTATCTTTGTCTGAAATCCATGCACTAAATCTAGCAAAACTGTGGCCAATCTAATTGCTGTGTAAGTAATGCGTGCACTCAAGGATATTAATTCTGTTCCAGTTAAAATTCAC